AATCATTTAGACTGGTTCCTTGGGGTCCAGATTTAGAGCTACAATTAAAAACTATCCGTAAAGGAGTCGTTTTTGATTCTCTCTTTACAGCCATGTGTGGTAAAAAATGGCCTGTTTGCTTATTGTCTTGTTTCACGACTTCGATGAATTTATTCTTTAATTGTTGAGCAATAATCTCATGATAGAGTTTTAAATGCTCAGGCCTTTTTCTTAGCTTTGCTAGTTGTGATTTAAATTGACTATAAGCCATGTGATAATTGGTAGGTAAGGTTTTATGGTTGATTTTCCATGGTAGCCTTACCCAGTACTGTCCATCATTGTACTGTACAGTTTCTAAGTATTGATTGTATGCACAGACATCATCAGGACTTGGTTGTTCAGGAATTATTCCTATGGCATCAAGTTCCCACAATTGAGGTACAGATTCTAATCCATCATCAATCATGTGGGGGATTTTAAGTGGTGACTGTTCTTTGCCTAGTCATGCCACTATTACAGTTTCTGTATGATGTGATTTTTCAGGAGTTGAAGGTTCAAGATCTAGTATAGGTCCTGTCATCAATATGCCTCCTGCTGATTTGAGTATATTCATACCCATAGATTCTTCTGATCCCAGAATGAATCGATGATAGTAGTCAGCTCCAATCAGGATTCCGATATCCCCTATGTAGTCAGAATCAAGCAGAGGATCTGCTAATTGTATTCCCTTTTCTTTTAGGAATTTAATTGTTGCTGTCAGACCAGTCACTTCCATTTCAGTAGGAATTTTATCAACTACTATGGCTTCTACTGTCCTTTGGGATGTACCTAGACAGACATTGAGTTTTACTACTGGAAAGGTTCTACGACCAGAATTAGTAAAAAACCCTGATATTGATGTAGATACTTGCTTTGAAGATTTAAGTTGTAAATCTTCTGCCATCTTTTTACTGATAAAGGTTTTCTGTGACCCTTGATCAAAAAAGCCTCTAGTTGGAATACAAATTCCTTGATTGCATAGTTCTAGCTGTGCAGTAGGCAATATGGCTGCTGTAACAATTTCTGTATCCAAGTCGTTGACATTGCTCATTACTGTACAGAATTGTACGGCTGTTGTGGTATTATCATCTTTGGGCTTTGCCTGAGATGCAGGTTGATTATTGGAAGTTTGTGATCTGGATTGAGTGTTAATATCACCACAGAGTGCTGTGTGATGTACACTTTTATGACAATATTGGCAGTTCTGCAATTGAGTGATACACTCACTTGTATCGTGCTTCCGTAGACAACGGATGCACCTGTTCAGAGATTTCAGTCGATCGATTCGACTGGCACGGCCTTCATAAACTGTGCATTGATAAATGGTATGTGCTTCTTGACAGAATAAACATTTTGGGGCACTTGTAGCTCCTTTTGTCTTATCTGTCTTAGGAGCTTGGTTTCCTACAGTTCTGTTAACTGTGGGGGATATAGCATAAGAGCCAACATTATTCTGTTTCCACTTTGCAGAAGAGGAGTTTTGTTGTCTTGATTTTTGACTGCCATTCTGGACATTTTTGCTTTTGTCCGTGGATTCACCTTTGGGGATTTTTTCTTGAGATCTAAGTTTTCCTCGGCTTCGTAATCTTTGTACGTAAGCTCGAAGTCCATCAATGATTTGGCTTTGTGATAAGATGTTGTTACAAGTATGTAAAACTTGTAGGTAAGTAATTACATGCAAGTAGGTCATACAAGCATGTAACACTTGTACTCCTCCAAGGATTTCCTTAAAGGATGAATTGTATCTGTAATAATGTGTATCTACATTATTCATGATGTGATGAAGCATTTTGCTTTTTCTTTTTTTCTCGGCTTTGCCTTTTCTATTAAGTAAGTCTCTTTGAGATGCTTGATTAACTTCAGATTTTCTGAGGCTGCTTTCACTCCAGTGAAAGCATGAGATTAGGTGATCAAGACTATATTCTTGGATTAAGATAGTTATCTTAGATGGATGATAATATTTGTATTGACATTGTCAATGTGTTGTTAGCCTTTCAGATTGTGATGTGAGATTAAGATTGGTCTTAATCCCCAATTGTAGACTATTGTAGCCAAGTGATGATGACATTTGTCTATCACCTGATTTAAATGGTCTGTAGGCTGTAGATTCAAGTGATTTTTTTAGACACTTTGTGTCCTTTTCTTTTCTGTTTCAGCTGCTGGTGGAACACTGTTAGCCATTTTGACCTTTTCCGAGTTTCGGAGATTCCGAGATTTTTCTCTTTTTTCTGATAAATATGTATGATGTTAATGTATTTTGATAAATGAGCTTTCCTGTCTACTTAGGTAATGATTCCAAAGATCGTCCTTCATTTCCTCCCTGGAATCTGGTTGTAGCAGGTGTTCAATTATCAAAAGTACTGTAATAATTTGATTTGTGACCCGAATGCACGAATGCACCAAGTTGGTAAATCTTGTAATAATTTTTTAAAAATAGTAAATGGCACTATTTTTGCAAAGTTATTACAAAATCTGTTACCATAATAATTGTTTGATAAAATACAGTAGAATGTCTACTGGTTTTACCTTGAATAGGGTATGATATAGTTGATTATGGTTAAGATTGTAATGAATGCTCTTACAGTGATGATAACACTTTTTTAAAGAATATTATGTAATGAGCAGCTCTGAAAATCAGTAGATTAGAGATAATGCTAGATAATACACTTAAATATATATGTAATGTTACCACAATGAGGTAGATAATGATATTTTATGATTAAGATGCAGTGCAGTGTCTTTGACACTGATATACTTAAGTACTGTGGTTTCTTAACACAAAACAGTATCAGTATGCTATGAATACTATGAATGCTTACTAGTTAATGGATATGGTGGCTTAAGCCACTGCAAACTATTTGTTTACTTAGATATATAGCTATGATAAATATTGGCTGATAGCTAGGTTAGGCTAGAATATGTAAGAATTATTCCAATGCAAAATCAAGAAGTTTCTTATGTATTTGGCATTGAAATATTCGGTAAACGAATGATCATAAATATCTAGGTATAAAAGACCAATTAATATCTAGGTTCGAAGGACCATTAATGTGGGAAAAACCTGCTGGGATCGATATAAGAGGAGACTACCAGGGACTTGTACTGAACTAAATTAAAAAATTACTGTCTGCAAATTAATTCAACTAAAATCTCTAGCTAGGGTTGTAAATCCTAGATCCTCTTTTCCTAATGACAGATTGTGGGCTGTAAGGGACAGGTGGGGAGAATGACTTAGTTGATAGAAGTTCCAATCCACCTGTAGACAGGGATCTCACATCAGCTTGTATTTTATACAAGGATAAGATTTGATAAATTCAGTTATCTGACTGAACACTGGCTCTGTTTAAATCAGGGATTTAAACATACATAGTCTAACCTAGCACCATAACTTAACAGCCAATAGATTCTTATACTATAAACAACAAATTAATTGTAAAAGTATAAATAAATGACCTTAAATGGAGTCTTAATACTATTAGCTTAGTACTAGAAATTATATTCAATTAAATGAACTTATATGATAACTTATAAATAACTAAGCAAGCAATTGATAACTTAATTTATATATTCAAATATATATGCAGACATATTCACTTTATACAGTTAGCTTGACTGAATCTCTTCCAAGACTGTGGACACTTGTGAGGTTTTTACTTATTGAGGCTGAATTCTTTTCTGACAGAATGGACACTCATGAGGTTCAGTGCTTGGATAAGATTCACAGCTACACTACAATTTTAATAAACGTACCGATGAATGAGGCTTAGCCTCGCTTTTTAACCAACAGACAGATTTATAGGATATTAAAGCTACACAAGCATACAATTGGCCAATCATACACCAAATAACCTTCAATATACTTCTCTGCCAGTCGGGGTGCCTGTCTGACAAGTTTGCCAGACTGATTAACTCTCTCTTGTTGAGTTTAGGCACGATATTTTGCTACAGCGTTGCTGTATGATGATCTGGTAGCGTTGCTACGTGATTTTTCTTTAACTGCGTTGCAGAAGAATGATATGATAAAGATAAAGAATGAAGATGGAGGAAACCGTGTCACCGTGATCTCCACTATACACTCTTATTTTATGAATGTTCTATGATTTTCCTTGTAGATATTGTCCAGGTACTCCCCCAGTTCTAGAGAGTATTCACTGGCGATAAAAAAATATTAGATAAGGTGTCCTTGAGCTGGTAATGTTCGCTAAGGATCAGTCACTTGTTCACTCATTTGTAAACAAACGCGGAGTGCCGCTGGGCTTGTTGGTGGGCGCTTCTCTCCCCCCCATCGCCCTGCCATGCTCTCTGAGCACGGTAGCCTTCAATGAATATTGATTGATTATTTTTTACAGTCTAGACTTATGATTGAAATAAGATGTGATTATAATATAATTAGATATAAGATTTAAAGATTATAAGTAGTATTTGAAAGTACCACTGAATCTTATTAAGGATTCGATTTTTAATCCTACCGGATGTTGAATCAATGTTCCAATAGTTTTTTAATTAAGAAGTCCTTCTAGAAGCTTCTGGATCCTTGAAAGATCATGTACAAAGTCACGTAGGCATCAAAAGGGCCCCTGTTGCGTACGTGTTCATGGTGCCATTGTCATCCAGGATCAAGCTATAATGAATCTTTGATACGATTTAGATATGATTTTGATATGATTTAGATATGATATAGAAATTATACATTTCTTAGATGATTATTAGATATGGTGGGTAAAAATTTCCCACAGTGTGGTCATAGCTTATCAGGGGGGGACCAACCAAAGTATCAGGGGACCACCCAATCAGGGGACCACCCAATCAGGGGACTAACCAAAGTATAAGGGAGCAACCAAAATATTAGGAGACCACCCAGAGATCACCTTGCTGTGGTGATGATAAATATCCAAATATCATATATGATAATGAAGAGGATGTGAACATGATGATAGTGATTCAGACCTGACAATTCTTGAATGACGGAATATTTCACGTACCTCATAACTCTTGAAGTACGTCATCTCTCTTGGTATGCTGTGCTTGGTCAGCATGTGGTGTCGGAGTTTGCGACGGTCTGCATAGTTGCGTGAACAGCGAGAGCACTGGAATCGTTCCTTGTGCTCCATGTGGTTGCGTTGTATGTGTGTCCGTAATTCTCCTTTCCACTTATAACTCTTGTTGCAGTACTCACAGTAGTGCAGCACCGTCGAGTGTGTCTTATTGCGGTGATACCTGTGTGTTCGCAGAGGAAAACATGTGTAATTCTATATCCAAAGCATTTTATGAGATGTGTCGTGAGAGACACACACACATTCTGCACCGAATCAGTCCGATGCCTAACATAGTACCAGGCCACCAGCCTTGATCCACATAATGCAAACTCGATATTTAAATGTGTAAATACTGTATACCCCTGGGAAGATGATACCAACAAGTCCTCATAGCTTTAACTGGAAATTCAATCCTGGTAACAGGACGCAGGTCTGACCTATCCTTGACCTGAAATGGGCTACAAACAACACTTCATGCATTACCATTCAAGCTAGCAAAGGCCGACCATAATAGACTGGGAAAACGGTAAACACAAGAGCGGATTGTGAATCGGTTAATTTATACCAGTTATTCAGAGATCTGATAAATAGGCAGAGAGGAGTTTATATAACATAACAGATGAGGGATCACCTAATCCACAGGAGCCTTGATGAGGGTTCGAACTTATGTGCTGGGTGTTCCAAGACGCGCTCTAGTCAACTGTACCATGACATGGTCAATAGAATTGCAACCTGGCAACCACATGAGGGATCACTGGATAGCGTCAAGCAAGGTTAGCCTAGGATTAATCAGGGCCAGGTACTGTAATCCCTGGCCCGGATTAATCGTAACTGACTCCTGGATAACTGATCCTCACTTCCCTGATCCATCTTGCCTCCACACATGTGGTAAGCCCTCGGCTCACATGTGGTAAGCCCCCGGCTCACCACATGTGAGCATACGTAAATTTGGATACAATCTCTGTTATAAGTACAGTATTGTATTTTAAGAGAGAAGCATGTGATCAAAATACCTGTAATGTGTTTTACATGTAAACAATAATAAGTAATTGTACTTACCTTTGTAGAGATGTGAGCCTACCTAACTTTGCCTACAGGCAGGTGAGGTCTACCTGTTTGTCCCCCACCCACTGGCCCAGTCATCCTTAAATAGCCAAAGGATTTTTCTTATTACACATTAAGTAAAGAACTAAAAGAATTACTCGACTTTTGGCAGAAAAAACACTGACCATACATTACAAAAACTGTTATACATGAAAAATTACATTCATAAAAAAGTCAAAAAGAAAAATTAAAAAGTCTTTTTCTGAGCATCACTACATTAGTTGTGTTACGCTCTGTACCTTCACACGCTACACACCTCACACCAGGCTCTCGGTGACTTATTGTTACGCTGTGTACCTTCACACGCTACACACCTCACACCAGGCTCTCGGTGACTTATATGCCAGAAGACAAGAACAGTACCTTTTAAACTGTCTTGTGCCCCCTTCTAAGGGGCATGGACCCTAGTGGAGAGCTTGTCTCAAGACAATCTGAGGTCCTCCACACACATTAACTGACCAGTTAAAAATCACCAAGCATCATTCTAAAACTTCTAATGATAAAAACCTAACTACACCGACAGATCTAAATGGCAATGCTACTGTACAAACAGATGGTGACGTGGGATCTTGAGATGATTTTGGGGCTATGTGTCCCGGCGGCCCGGTCCTCAACCAGGCCTCCTTTTTGTTAAACACCCCCAGGAAGCAGCCCATAGCAGCTGTCTAATTCCCAGGTACCTATTTACTGCTAGGTAATGGGGGCATCAGGGTGAAGGAAACTCTGCCCATTTGTTTCTGCCTCCACCGGGAGATCGAACCCGGAACCTCAGGACTACGAATCCAAAGCGCTGTCCACTCAGCTGTCAGGCTCCTGGGATGGAGCCCTGGGAAGGGATGCCCCTCACTTTCCGGCCACTTTAGTTAGAACCACACTTACGTACAGAGGAATGTAAAGACCTTGTATTACAAATAAACCCTAACCATTAGAGGCACTGTACCAGAGAACCCACGACTTCTGTCCATTGACCTAAAAGATGAACCATTCCAGCACCCACAGAACCACACCTCCTGGCCAGCTGGCAGTGTAAACCAGTCCAGCACCCACAGAACCACACCTCCTGGCCAGCTGGCAGTGTAAACCAGTCCAGCACCCACAGAACCACACCTCCTGGCCAGCTGGCAGTGTAAACCAGTCCAGCACCCACAGAACCACACCTCCTGGCCAGCTGGCAGTGTAAACCAGTCCAGCACCCACAGAACCACACCTCCTGGCCAGCTGGCAGTGTAAACCAGTCCAGCACCCACAGAACCACACCTCCTGGCCAGCTGGCAGTGTAAACCAGTCCAGCACCCACAGAACCACACCTCCTGGCCAGCTGGCAGTGTAAACCAGTCCAGCACCCACAGAACCACACCTCCTGGCCAGCTGGCAGTGTAAACCAGTCCAGCACCCACAGAACCACACCTCCTGGCCAGCTGGCAGTGTAAACCAGTCCAGCACCCACAGAACCACACCTCCTGGCCAGCTGGCAGTGTAAACCAGTCCAGCACCCACAGAACCACACCTCCTGGCCAGCTGGCAGTGTAAACCAGTCCAGCACCCACAGAACCACACCTCCTGGCCAGCTGGCAGTGTAAACCAGTCCAGCACCCACAGAACCACACCTCCTGGCCAGCTGGCAGTGTCATCTCACCGCTGCAGGCAACAATGCTACACCAAAAAAAGTAAACTGGGAATGACGACGTCACAAAGACTTGTATGAAGCTCCAGACACCAATACTAAAGAAGGTGCTACACTTAGACAAGTGAACTGGTAATAACTTTGTCACAAAGTCTCACAAAAGGATGCAGACAACAGCAACACCGAAGGTGCTATATCAAGAAAAGTAAACTGTGAATGCACCCAACATACAAGTGAATGCAACAACAATGCACCCAGGAAGCCGGTCGGCCGAGAGGACAGCACGCTGGACTTATGATCCTGTGGTCCCGGGTTCGATCCCGAGCGCCGGCGAGAAACAATGGGCAGAGTTTCTTTTACCCTATGCCCCTGTTACCTAGCAGTAAAATAGGTACCTGGGAGTTAGTCAGCTGTCACGGGCTGCTTCCTGGGGGTGGAGGCCTGGTCGAGGACCGGACCGCGGGGACACTAAAGCCCCGAAATCATCTCAAGATAACCTCAAGATAACACAGTAAACATCTCCAAGGCAGAACTATACCAGACATGTCAGCAAGGAGCCGGGAGCCGGTCGGCCGAGCGGACAGCACGCTGGACTTGTAATCCTGTGGTCCTGGGTTCGATCCCAGGCGCCGGCAAGAAACACTGGGCAGAGTTTCTTTCACCCTATGCCCCTGTTACCCAGCAGTAAAATAGGTACCTGGGTGTTAGTCAGCTGTCACGGGCTGCTTCCTGGGGGTGGAGGCCTGGTCGAGGACCAGGCCGCGGGGACACTAAAAAGCCCCGAAATCATCTCAAGATAACCTCAAGATAGAACAGGGCTAACCTCAAGGCAGGAACAGACCCCAAGATATATCACAACCTGAGCCAAGGACTACATCTGCCAGGCAGAAATATACCAAACATGTCGGCAAGGTGGGGAGCAGACCCTGAGATCTATCATGGACAGAATTAAGGACAACATCCAGGAAAAAATATACAAGTCACAGCTTCGTGCCATCTTTGGCAGATGACATAAAAATCAGAATGAAAATTACTTCTGTAGAAATCATTGAAAAACTATATGGCGATATTAATAAAACGATTGGGCAGCAGAAAATAACATGACGTTTAACAGTGATAAATTCCAGGTGCTTAGATATGGGGGAAAATGAAGACCTTAAACATAATACAGGGTACAAAACACAATCAAATCTGCACACATAAGGAAAGCAACATGTAAAGGATCTGGGAATAATGATGTCTGACGACTTAACATTTAGGGAGCATAACCAAGCAAATATAGCATCAGGTAGAAAAATTATAGGATGGTTTACGAGAATCTTCAAATCCAGGGATTCCATCGCAATGCTCATACTATTCAAATCACTGGTGCTGTCCCACCTTGAGTTCTGTTCGATTCTCACTTTCCCTTTCAGAATAGGAGAGATTGCTGAAACAGGAGAATACAAAGAACACGCATAGACATGATAAAACACCTACATTATTGGGATCGTCTTAAAGCTCTGAAAATGTATTCTCTAGAAAAGAGATGAGAGGTATCAAATAATAATGAATACACTGTACATGATAAATACTGGAGGGCCACAGTGTAAGACAAGAGCAGTACACAGCAGAACAGCAACAGTTGGAGCATCAGTGTGCAGCTCCTATCAGCCAGCAGTACACAATGAAAACTTACACCTCAATCAAGCACTAACCAAGGAGCCAGGTCAACTTGGCTCAATTAGATACTGTACAGGTATTTGGTTAAAATCTCAGTAGACATTGCATCTACAGACTTGATTATGGTATACGTTTATAGTTCAATGTCTCCATTCCTTCCCCACTGTCCCATCCCTAATCCTTATCCTGATCCCTGCCAAGTGTTAAATAGTCGTTATGAATTGGTGCTTTCCCCTGATAGTTCCTGTCCCTTCCCTTCCTTCCATAGTTTCCACCATGAATTTAAGATTTTATATCCAATTTGAAGACATCGTTCTTCGGAGGCCAATGACCGATAACATTTCCTTCAAGTGAACATATCCACAAGAGCCGTGACGAGGATTCGAACCTGCGTCCGGGAGCATCCCAGACACTGCCTCAATCGACTGAGCTACGACAGGGTTAAAAGGGTTGAAACCGAAGTTCTACTGAACTTACTGGATCCCGTAGCCTCTCCGAGGCACAAACCAGCCCTTGTGGATTTGTTCATTTGATGCATCACGTTAGTGTGATCTCTGTGTGTAATTTCCTTCAAGTATTTTCACCAAAGTCTTACAGTATGAAGCAGATGATGTTTTGAAGCCTGTGAATATGACAATCTTTCAATACAGTACTTAAATAAATCAGCCAAATTGTGGGTTAGTGCTACTAACTTTCTATTGTTTCTAAGATAATCTTTTAACACACATGGAGGGGGGGGGGGAGGTAATACCCTATGAAATATAGCAGCAATTTTAGCATTAATAAAAACATCATTATTAAGACTTACATAATGAAAACACCAGCAATCAGCCAGCTGGAGGCACCAGATGGATGACTGCCAATCATGAGGCCAAGTCAAGAACCAATCCTTGTGCAGAGTAAATCTGAAACATTGTAACGTAAACATACTCACCTTAAAGTATCAGAGGTGTCACACTTCTCTACATCAACAACAATACTCACCGTACAACATCAGTGGTGGTAAACTTCTCTCCGCATTGACAGCAATACTCACCATACAGCATCAGAGGTGGCAAATGTCTCTCAGCAATGACAGGAATACTCACCATAAAGCATCAGAGGTGGCAAACTTCTCTCAGCATCAACAGCAATACTCACCGCAAAGCATCAGAGGTGGCAAACTTCTCTCCGCACAAATCACAGTCATAAGGCCGCAGGTTGGAGTGAACAGTGTTCAAGTGCCGCATGAGGTCTGATCTCACCGTAAATCTCTGGCCACATGTTTCACACGGATGTTTGGCTTCACCGTGCATTCTCAGCATGTGGATCTTGTACGATGATGCCAACATTTCTTTCTGACACACCGTGCAACGGACCTTTGGGCCAGGATCATCACTGTGAATGCGTTGGTGATCGGTAAAGGCCTTCTTAGTAGAAGCCATATAGCCGCATTCAGAGCACAAGAAGTCCTTCGTCTCCTCATATTTGCTATGGAAGCGATGCAGATGAATCTTCAGTGCAGCCTTACTTGCCACTTTCAGCCCACACACGCAACACACAAACTCGTGAGGACCCATCTGAGTATAAGGAACGTGTGTCTCCTTGTGGCGCTCCAGCTCATACTTGTAGCCAAACATTTGGTCACACTGGTCACAAGAGTGAATGCGATCTTTTCTGGAGTCAGTGCCATTCCCATTGTCTCCAATTCGAGAGTGAGCAGCCTTACGGTGCTCTGCCAAAGTCTTTTTCTTGGTAAAGGAAGCTTCACACAAACGGCAGTGCCACAACTTTTCGTGGCCGTCTCGCTTCTCCCCTCCGTCATCTTCCTCGTCGTCCTCTTCATCTCTCTTCCTCTTTCTCCAGTTATGAGCAGCAATGCGATGCATCCTGCGGCTCTTTTCGTCGAGGAAGGTTTTGTTACACCTGTCGCATGCATAGGGACCAGGTTTGAGGCTCATATATCCAGGAGTTACTTTAATAACGGTCGGAGATGAATCCACGACAGTGGGGTTCATCAGCAACACCATTGAGCCATCTGGAGCCGTCTGTATCATTGTCTGTGGTTTAGGTTGAATTGGACGCATGGATGCTAGGAGCTGAGATGCCGCATCAGTGCCCACCTTGGGAGCTATGGGAACAAGAGATGGCTTAATTGCCCGTCCAGTGGAATTAATTGTTGTGACAGAACCCAAATGATTCATAGGAAAGGTTTCAATCTTCACTGGACTGCTCTTTATAGAAATTAGTGGAATTTTGTCTTTCATGTCATCCTGTTCCAATTTAACTTGCTGCATCTCTGCACTGGTTGTACCAATTCTCCGTTCATCAAGTATGCCATTCACAGACTCTGGAGAGCCCCGGGATCCCAGTATAGGTTTGGCTAGACCAACGGGGTTGACGTCGTGTTCCTTCACCATGTGACTAGACACAGTATCCTTTGTCAAAAACTTTCGCTTGCATATATGACAAGCAAAAGGTTTACGTGGTCTGCCTCCCTTCTTCTTGATTGAAATAATATTGATTTTTGATTCCATGCCCAAGTCCTCCGTCCTTTTAGCCGTTTTACGACCCTGCCTCCCCCGGCGCGGACGCGTGGCTGCCAAGTCATCTAAATTTAGGTCTGGTGGCTGATATAATCTGGGTATTGGGCTTGTCCCTGCTGTGTTAAGATTATTTGGCTTGGGCAAAACTTGAAATGTTAACTTGGGCCGCTGATTGTTGTTAAACAGTCCATTAATTTGCTTTTTTAGACGATTCAAGTGAGTATATGCACTGTCTGTCTCATTGACGAGCTCTGAACACCTGGAGCACAGGTCAACAGCACACGTGTTGGTGACGACCATCTGGTTTAGCACATCACTTAACAACTCCAGAAGCGTCACCTGAGTATTGAACAACTTTTGTGTTTTCAAGTAATAAAATCTCTCGGTGGGATCCGACAAGTGGCGGCCACACACAAAGCACATGCACGGTCCATTGTTTGGTTGCTCGACTGTCGTGTTCACGGTAGTTGGGGTTGCCAATAGATTGACCGACATATTATTTATACGTACAGTTCCATTTGAGATTGTATTCGAGAGAGGAACCGAAGAAGGGCTACTGGCAGTAACTGTCGTCAGAGCTGTAGAAACAATCTCACTAATATTAGGTCTAATGGCCACCTCGCCCGACTGGCCGCGAGCTCGCTGCAACGACTGCTGCTGTGGGGTGCTGGCTGTCAGGACCTGGTGCTGTGTTGACTGCTGTAACTGCTGAGACTGCTGCACCATCAAGACCTGCTGCTGTGTTGTTCCTTGGACATGCTGCTGGTGTGACTGACGATGCAACTGTTGCTGCTGTTGCTCTTGCTGGTGTAGGAACATGATCTGGCCCTCCAAGGTCCTGTCTGCTTCTGAGCTCTGTAGACTGTCTGTGTTACTTCCACTGTCTACCTGTTTAATGGGAGTTAAGTCTCCATCAGAGGAAATGGTGAGACTGTCATCTGCTGTGATGACTATCTCATTTGTGACGTCCCCACCGATGGAACAATCATCGGTAACCACGGTTAGACTGGCAACCATGCCAGACTCGGAAACAAGAGACGAACCGCTGTCATTTCTCTGCTTGAACATAGAGACGGGGCTGTCGTGACAAGAGACACTGGCCAACACCTGGTGGTACTCCACATCCTCTCTGCCTCGGTTATTCATCTCGACAACAAAAATGTTTTATACAAAACAATCAATTTGACATAATATAACCAAAGTACAGTACTATACTGGATAAAATTTAAAGAATTATTTCAACTTTTGCATTCATCTTCAATTACTCATTATCATCACAATACACCAAAGATGGAGAACATATAAATTTTTTATAGCAAGCAGCAATAAGTCACCATAATAAAAGCCAGTGATAATATTTAAAGCCACTTTCTTTAAGCTCATGTGGGATGCCCCTGCCACCTCTCGTAGCAACCACAGTCATCAGATATTTGAAAAATTAAACGAGTTTCACGGGAGCCTTCATCACATTGAGAACTTCCCCTCTACTGTCCAGTATCTTCTGTCAACCAAAAGATCCATGTAATGCTTCGGGAAACAAAAACAGGCACTGCGTGACCTCCGGTACATGAGAGCTTCCTGTCCGAGATGGAGTGCCGTAGTCCCTAGTGATCCACAAACACACGAATGACACGTGGTGATGCACGTGGGGCACGGACACTGACAGTATCCCCACACGCCTCTGGCAAGCACTCGTAGTACAGTATCCTTACACTGCTCCAGCAAGCACTCATTGTGTAGTATCCTTACACTCCTTCAGCAAACACTTGTCCTACAATATCCTCACGCTCTTCCAGCGAGGACTCTCCTAGTGCAGTGTTATCCTGGTCTTCCAGCAAGCACTCTTGTAGTAGTGTCTTCAAGCTCTTCCGGCAAGCTTTACAGGAATCTGTAAAAGAAGAGTTCTATATGGTTAAGGTAATCTAAATATGTTTTACTCTCAAAAGCTTCAAATCTAAGACAAATAAAGTTTTGAGTTAGCAACTGCTGCATTTTTTCTTTATTAGGCCACACCCCCCTCCCATACCACATACAAGCAACACACTCGTTTTTAAATGACAAACTGTTTATGAGTCCCGCATATGTGGGCACATGTTCCTTATATCCAAAGACACACCATCACTGAGGCTTAATAATATACCACGTGACCCTTTGCCGCCATCAATATAGAATATACATACAATATCAGCCAAGTGTTAGCACCACGGGTGAAATATTAATAGAAACGTAATCTATTATGTGCATACTTTTTTGTGTTGAAATATTAGTTTACCTTAAGTTTGTATTTGTAATGAAAAAAACTTCACCTGATCTCATATTTTGACATCAAAGATGCACTTCAGCATCCATGAGAAGCACTTTGAAATATATAAGATGCACTTCAACATAATAATAATAATAATAATAATGATAATAATTATAATAATAATATAATAATAATAATTATAATAATACAGTAATAATAATAATAATTTATTCACAAGAAGGTACAATGGGTTGGTGAGATTACATAAGACTTGTATTTGTACAGTGAAGCAAAGGCACTAACACTTATAGTGTTTCAGGCAGGTCCTTAATGTAACATATTAGGTGAGATGAAGAGGTACATTGTAGCGAGGGTTTATATCAACATATAACTACAATATAAATTGATGGATTTGTTCATTAAATAGATGAGGATTATTACAGTGGTGGAGATGTTTGTCTTAAGTACTAATACTGGGGGAGTGGGTAGTACAAGATACAGTGGGAGTTTGAAGCACAAAGTAGGAAACTATGAGGAGGAAATTAGGTACTTTTTGGGTTTACTTTTGAATAAAGTAAAGGTTGGACAATTGTTTTATTCATTAGGGAGCGAGTTCCATAGACTGGGCCCTTTTATTTACACAGATTTAGTCTGACTCTGGAGCTATCAAAGATAAATGTATTTCTGGTGTGGTACTCATGGGTTCTATTACACCTGTTAAGGAAAAGTTTCAGATCAACATTAGCATATTTAGGAACAAGGTTTTATACATGTAAATAGCATTAGAGAATGTGTGGAGTGAGTGTATGTTTAGTATGTTAAGGGACTTATACAGTGGGGCTGTGTGTTGTCCGGAGACAGAGTTAGTTATAGTTCTGACAACAGATTTTCACTGGGTGATGATGGGCTTGAGGTAGTTTGCAGTGGTTGAGCCCCAAGTACAGATACCGTCCATGAAAAGCACTTTGACATACATAACAAGCACTTCAACCTCCATGAGAAGAGGCACATATAACAAGATGCCACTAAAGACCTTCCGTGGCCAGACTGGCAATAACATCCATTGGTTATAGCCTCTTGGCTTTGGTAATGCTACGTTGATTTTGGTTATGCCAGGCTGACTTTGGTTGTGCTAGACTGGCTTTGGTCATGTAAGGTATCCTTTGGTTAGGTCATGTTACCATTGGTTAGCCCCCGGCTTGGTTAGTTACGTACGAGTTACATGCACTAGGGTGGAGGAGTCGGCGTGAACCACGGGGTCTTCACCAGTTTTATGGTTATATCCCGCGACGGTGGGCAGCGAGAGGCTGTGGCGAGGCGGAAACCCCCGCCCGGGTTCGTATCCCGCCCCGACACCCCTGAATCAAGCAGCAAAACATAGGTAAAAGAGCGAGGAGACCGTCCACCCACCTGCCTCTCCGGGGGTTTGTTTACAAACGTTGACACCAACATGGCCGCTCACGGGTCCTGGCCGCAGCCTCGCCGCCAGCCAATCAGCGCGCGGCTTTGTCTCGCCGACCAATCAGAAGTCGCGATATGGAGCCGCCGCCGCCGCCACGAACAACCCGTTCTGCAGAATTCGTAAAAGAATTAAAAAAATATTAATATTAAATATAATTTTTGTTTAAATATTTACAAGAAAATTAAGATGAGTTTGTAATAAAATTTTAGATTTTGTAGATAACTTTCTTTTGTGAATAGTTTTTGTAAAGTTATAATAAATAATAATTATAGTGGCAGACAGTTCCTTTAGGACCATGAGTCGCTAATATTAATAATACTATACTAATAATACTTTTTATTTAGGTAAGGTACATACATAAAGAGATTTTACAAAGTTTGTTGGCTTTATAGATAGAGCTAGTACATACAATGCCTAAAGCCACTATTACGCAAAGCGTTTCGGGCAGGAAAAACATTAATGACTAAAGCTTAAAACTAATGGGTAAAAAGAATAAAATGTGTTGAGTACAAATAAAAATAGAGGTAAAAGAGGGGGGAACATTGTTGAAAAAGCAGCACAAATACAATTACAAATTATTACAGAAAATTACATTCAAACAGCGTTGATTTGAAAAAAAAAAAAAAAAAAAAACAGACATTGGTTGACAATAGAAGGGTAAGGTAGGTTACAGGGAATTTATTAGGTATAGCTTCGTTTTTACCTTAAACTGGTTGAGAGAGGTACAGTCTTTAACATGGTTGGGAAGGTCATTCCACATTCTGGGCCCCTTGATTTGTAGAGCATTTCTGGTTTGATTAAGTCGTACTCTAGGAATATCAAAACTGTATTTGTTTCTGGTGTGGTGCTCATGGGTTCTGTTACAACCTTCTATGAAGCTTTTGAGATCAGGATTGGCATTATAGTTTAGCATTTTATATATGTATAATACACATGAGAGAATGTGCAGTGACTTAATGTCTAACATATTCAGAGATTTGAGTAGGGGTACCGAGTGATGTCTGGGGCCAGAATTGGATATTGTCCTAATAGCAGCTTTGTGTTGGGTAATTAGAGGACGTAAATGATTTTGGGTAGTAGAACCCCAAGCACAAATACCATAGTTGAGATATGGATAGATAAGGGAGTAATAGAGAGTCACCAGGGCAGGGCGGGGTACATAATATCTGATCTTAGAAAGAATGCCCACAGTTTTTGAAACTTTTTTTGATATATTTAGAATGTGTCCCTGGAAATTCAGCTTGTGGTCAATGAGAATGCCAAGGAATTTGCCATCTAATTTGTTACAAATTTGGGTATTGTTTATTATGAGATTTATTTGATTAGAGGATTTATTGCCAAACAGAATATAGAAAGTTTTGTCAATGTTAAGGGTGAGTTTGTTGGCAGTTAGCCAAAGATGGACTTTATTTAGCTCAGTATTTACTGTGGCATTAAGAGCAAGGGGATCAGGACTGGAGTAAATGAAGGTTGTGTCGTCAGCAAATAGAATTGGTTTGAGGTGTTGGGAGGCATTAAGAAGGTCATTAATGTAGATGAGAAAGAGGAGAGGGCCAAGTATGCTGCCCTGGGGAACACCAATGTTGATGGGTAGGATGGGAGAAATTGAATTATTCACAGAAACATATTGGAGCCTGTCAGTAAGGTAGGATTTGAGGTATTGTAGGGAGTGTCCTCTGACTCCATAATGATGTAATTTAAGAAGAAGGTTTTGGTGGTTGACAGTATCAAAAGCTTTACGCAGGTCCACAAATAACCCAACAGGGAACTCATTTTTATCAAGAGCTGTATGAATCGAGTTAAGCATACTAATAAGTGCATCGTTAGTGCTTTTTTTTGGGCCTGAAGCCATATTGGCAAGGCCTATAGTGGCCTCGACGAGGACAGGAAGCCGGTGGCTTGTCAAAGGTCATATATATGTGTATATATATACTGCTAGGTGAACAGAAGCATGAGGTGGAAGAGCACCGGTCTCCGGCCTCGCCACCCTCATATATAACTCCCGGCCTCGCCACCCCCATATATAACCCCCGGCCTCGCCACCCCCATATATAACTCCCGGCCTCGCCACCCCCATATATAACCCCCGGCCTCGCCACCCCCATATATAACCCCCGGCCTCGCCACCCCCATATATAACCCCCGGCCTCGCGACCCCCGTATATAACCCCCGGCCTCGCCACCCCCGTATATAACCCCCGGCCTCGCCACCCCCATATATAACCCCCGGCCTCGCCACCCCCATATATAACCCCCGGCCTCGCCACCACCGTATATAACCCCCGGCCTCGCCACCCCCATATATAACCCCCGGCCTCGCCACCCCCATATATAACCCCGGCCTCGCCACCCCCATATATAACCCCAGGCCTCGCCACCCCCATATATAACCCCGGGCCTCGCCACCCCCATATATAACCCCCGGGCCTCGCCACCCCCATATATAACCCCTGGCCTCGCCACCCCCATTTATAACCCCCGGCCTCGCCACCCCCATATATAACCCCCGGCCTCGCCACCCCCATATATAACCCCCGGCCTCGCCACCCCTATATATAACCCCAGGCCTCGCCACCCCCATATATAACCCCGGCCTCGCCACCTCCATATATAACCCCCGGCCTCGCCACCCCCATATATAACCCCCGGCCTCGCCACCCCCATATATAACCCCCGGCCTCGCCACCCCCATATATAACCCCCGGCCTCGCCACCCCCATATATAACCCCCGGCCTCGCCACCCCCATATATAACCCCAGGCCTCGCCACCCCCATATATAACCCCAGGCCTCGCCACCCCCATATATAACCCCCGGCCTTGCCACCTCCATATATAACCCCAGGCCTCGCCACCCCCATATATAACCCCAGGCTTCGCCACCCCCATATATAACCCCAGGCCTCGCCACCCCCATATATAACCCCAGGCCTCGCCACCCCCATATATAACCCCAGGCCTCGCCACCCCCATATATAACCCCCGGCCTCGCCACCCCCATATATAACCCCCGGCCTCGCCACCTCCATATATAACCCCAGGCCTCGCCACCCCCATATATAACCCCAGGCCTCGCCACCCCCATATATAACCCCAGGCCTCGCCACCCCCATATATAACCCCAGGCCTCGCCACCCCCATATATAACCCCCGGCCTCGCCACCCCCATATATAACCCCCGGCCTCGCCACCTCCATATATAACCCCAGGCCTCGCCACCCCCATATATAACCCCAGGCCTCGCCACCCCCATATATAACCCCAGGCCTCGCCACCCCCATATATAACCCCAGGCCTCGCCACCCCCATATATAACCCCCGGCCTCGCCACCCCCATATATAACCCCAGGCCTCGCCACCCCCATATATAACCCCAGGCCTCGCCACCCCCATATATAACCCCAGGCCTCGCCACCCCCATATATAACCCCAGGCCTCGCCACCCCCATATATAACCCCAGGCCTCGCCATATATAATCCTTAACAAGAGTATCTTCATATTCCTCGACAAAGGAATATTTGAATATTTTTGATAGATTTTTAGATTTAATTTTGTTTTGATTTTTCATTTTGGTAAAGCTAAGTGCTATATAATTGTTACATTTGTGGACTATATGAGGCTATATACCAACTCTCATTGTTACTATGTTTTATTTTGATTAATGATTTGTGTTTTTCATGCTATGATTGAGCCAGATGATTGAATATTGGAAGACGAAGTCGGCGCCAAGGGCAGGAACTCGGAAGGAGCCCCATCGATTGTAAACAAGGAGTGATCAGCTGAGAGGAACAACATGGTCGACTCGCGCCGCTGACCCCCAATATTTCGGCAATTCTGACCCCCTGTGACCTCATTTTGACCTCTGGCCCTGCTTCTGGAGGTTAATATGGCTTAGCGACTATTTGTAGTGTGGGCTGGCAGGAGAATGGTGGGAGTAAATGGGTTAATTCAGCGTGTGACAGCTGATGAGTCACTGGTTATTGTCATGGCGTTAATGCTCTGCTTTGGTGGTGATTTTGGCTCTGATTGTAACACGTCTCATGTTATATGGTTGTTGTTAAATATTGTTTTGTTAAGTGCATTTAGAGTGTTGGGAACGTGACACCAAACAGGTTTGTGTCAGTGATAGATGAAGGGTTTTACTCTTTGGTTAACATTGGCGTGACTTGTCCACACCTTATGGCGCTTAAAGTTAACATTGGCGTGACTTGTCCACACCTTATGGCGCTTAAAGTTAACATTGGCGTGACTTGTCCACACCTTATGGCGCTTAAATTAGTCACACTTTTGTTGAATTTGTTTGTCTTGTGATGTGGGTTATTTTCTGATGTTTTTTGGTAGTGTTTGACAACTGCAGCTGAGCGTAACGAGATGCAGAGCAGTCGGTGTCTCTCATCGGTATTGCCAATGAGCTCGGTTAAGACTTACGTTTTTACATGAAAAGTGCAACATGAAATATGAACTTGCTTAAACAAGCAGCCTAGTTTGAGTCTAATGTTCTGTTGCTGCTGGCATCCCTTTGTAAATCCTTATAAAGCTTTGTACAGCTTATTAATCAAATAAAAAATTGTGTCTAATAAGGTATGGGATAAAATTGCCAGTCCTCAGCCAGTAAAGAAAGTCATTAATGTTTTAAGTGAAATAAAACATACTTTTGTTAATGTTTTTTTAAATTTTTGTATGAATTAAAAGCAAAGTTTATCTATGTTATCACAATATTATCTGTAAATGTAATATATACTTACTAATAGTATGTATATATTATGTATATAATAGCCTGCATATACTTACTAAGATAATAACCAAAATATGCCATTGGCTGAGATTGCAGTGAACTCAAGGATGTCAGCCATCTTGGTGCCTTGTTCTCAACTCACATTCAGGGATCCTGGGTTCGATTCCAAAGTGAGATACAAATGGTTGGGCATGTATCCTTTTACCTAATGCTTCTGTTCACCTAACAGTAAATAAGTACCTGTAAGTTAGGTAACTGTTGTGTGGGTTGCATCCTAGGGAGGGTCAGTGGTTCAACCTTGGGGGGGACCTCGGTATACAGGTTTCCTCTCCCTGATAACACAAATTAGTTATCAGCCATCTCGGTGCTGGGTGTTGGCCATGCTTGCATCACCAATTTTTAAGAGAGTTTCACCATTTGTAATTCAGTATAAGGTCAGGTGCTGCTGAAGGCAAATCATTTTTGAAAAGTCCTCGGGGATCATATCTTGAGGTTATCTTCTTGAGATGATTTCGGGGCTTTTTAGTGTCCCCGCGGCCCAGTCTTCAACCAGGCCTCCACCCTCAGGAAGCAGCCCATGACAGCTGACTAATGCCCAGGTACCTATTTTACTGCTAGGTAACAGGGGTAACAGATCATAAACCAGTGTTGCCTCACCTAACACTGGAATCATGTTGTGTGTTGACTTGCTTGCTGCTCTTGTCTTGTGAAGGCGTGTGTGTAGTTCATTCTGCTTGTGAAAATAGACATTACAATATTTTAAATGTTTATTACATATCCTACAGTCATAACAGTAACTTTCCCGTTACTTATTTCCATCTTTAGGCATTTTTGTTGCAAACATGATATAATATTAGTTTCTTCAAATTACTTTTATTAAATTATTTACTTGTATAGGTTGTTTAGATTCACTGAATAATTTCTCTGGCACTGAAACAATGTCATTGATGAAACTTGCTACACTTGTGTAGTGTGTGGATGAAGATGAAGGAAAGACCCAATACATTTGGCTTCATATTACACTTGCATCTTATATTACATGTATTGCATCTTTACTTCACCTTCAGTGTCATTGATTCATAATAATGTTTGTTACTGCAGAAAACATGGCAGAAGGTGAAGGAGCTGATGATCTTCAGACACTCATTCGTGCAGATGATCTGGAGTGCATCACAGAGGAGCTTGGCGTGGTCCACAACCCTCCGTCCCTCCTACAAGAGGTGCCTCCTGTGTGGCACCTTCCTCTACAGTGCACAGCCCTTGTGGTGATCACGGCGGCCCTCGTCATCCTCTTGCCGGTCTATCTTGAGGTACACTTTTGTTTTATTTACCTTTGTATATGGTATAGTAACATTATTGAACTTCTGGAGAAGACATTAAATATATGCTTACTTGCAATACAAGAGTATATGTATTAGGTCATTTTCTCACCTTGTACGTCATTCACTTATCTTTTATATATTCACTAAGCTTGAATATATAAGCTATATTCACACATTCACTCTCATCATAACAAGAAAGGAAACTGCAGAAGGCCTTTATCCCATACCGTCCAATTTTGATTTATTTATTCCTAATATTTCTGTTGGCTAATCATCTTGTGTATGATATGACTTTTATCCTGCTAAATGCATGCACAAGCCATGTACGAGTATCACATGTTTGCTACTCATTATGAATAAAGATGTTTATGTATGTGTTGGATTTTACAACACCAAGCCTACTATAGTGTAGGCACTGTAGTAGGCTAGGTGCATGAACGTCTTCCCCAACTTCACAGTCCGGAGGTCGAGACCAACTCGGCATCACCTTCTTTTCTATTTTTCAGGCATCTTTATGTACTGGAATCTTAGCAGACACATGGAAAAAGGGCCAACACAGTTCCCATTTACAAAAATGTCAGCAGAGAAGACCCTCTTAATTATATACTTGTATCATTGACAAACACAATATGGGTTTTTGACCAGGAAGATTCTGTGTAGCAAATCAACTTAGTTTCTATGATAGAGCCACAAAGATTTTACAGGAGAGAGATGGTTGGGTTGACTGCGTATACCTGGACCTAAAAAGGCTTTCGACAGTCCCACATAAGAGGTTGTTCTGGAAACTGGAAGATACTGAAGACGTGACAGAAAGACTTCTGACATGAATAACAGAACTTCCTAACAGAAAATTGAGGGCAGTAATCAGAGGCAATGTATCAAAATGAAGAAGTGTTACTAGTAGAGTCCCACAGGGTTCAGTTCTTGCACCAGTGATGTTCATTGTGTACATAAATGCTCTACCAGAAGAAATACAGCAAACATATGAATATGTTGATAAACATTATCAGCAAACATATGAATATGTTGATAAACATTATCAGCAAACATATGAATATGTTGATAAACATTATCAGCAAACATATGACTATGTTTGCTGATAATGTTTAGATACTGTACTAGGGAAGATAAGAAACTTAAATGTTTCCCATGTCCATAATGACCTGGACAAAATAAGTGTTTGGAGCAACATTTGGTAAATGGAATTGGATGGGAATAAAGGCCACATTATGGAATGTGGAATAGGAGAAAATAGGCGGCACATAACCTGCAAATTATGTGAAAAGCCCTAAAAAAAATTCAGATAAAAAAAAAAGAGAGATTGTGCAAAAAGCCTATACAATGCTTTCCAGTTTCAGAATCGCTTATAAATACAGTACATAATATAGTACTATTTTTGACATAGATTTTGACATTGACATTTTACTCTTTTTGACATTGAGTATTTTGACAGATTTGAAAATACTAAAGGAACTGTTCATGACTTTTGTGAAACCAAAGTTGGAATATGCAGCAGTTGTATGGTGCCCATATCTTAAGAAACACATCAACAAACTGGAAAAGATGCAAAGACATGCAACAAAATGGCTTCCCGACCTGAAAGACAAAAGCTACAAGGAGAGGTTTGAGACACTTAAATATGCCAAAACTAGAAGATGGAAGAAAAAGAGACAATATGATCACTACATTCAAAATAATAACGGGAATCAACAAAAATGATAAAGAAGAAATCTTGAGACCTGGAACTTGAAGAACAAGAGGTCATATGTTCAAGCTAAGGAAACAAAGCTGCTGAAAAATATGAGTAAGTCCACTTTTGCAAACAGAGTGGTAGACTGTTGGAACTAGCTAAGTGAGAAGGTGGTGGAGGCAAACAGAGTGGTAGACTGTTGGAACTAGCTAAGTGAGAAGGTGGTGGAGGCAAACAGAGTGGTAGACTGTTGGAACTAGCTAAGTGAGAAGGTGGTGGAGGCAAACAGAGTGGTAGACTGTTGGAACTAGCTAAGTGAGAAGGTGGTGGAGGCAAAATCCGTCAGTAGTTTCAAGGCGACACATGACAAAGAGTACTGCGAAGACGGGACACCACGAGCGTAGCTCTCATCCTGTAACTACACTTAGGTAATTACACACACACACACACACATGCAGTTCCATTTTTCCCCCTCTTACCCCTCTGTCCTTTTCCTTGTAAACCTCCCCATATCCCTCCTCCAGGGATATATACACTGAGAGGTGTGTACTCTAAACTAACACTAGAGATCGAACCAGCATTTTGGGTAATCCCAGATGTGCGCCTTAACTCATGGACCACGATATGCTGAAGATTATATAACTGCACTCTGCCCGGAGTCAGGAGGCACCGTGCCGGTAGCCAGTGCTAATTTTACACATAGCCCACATACACCCTGGTGTAGGTAATGGAGTTCTCCCAGGTTCCATTCAGCTGGGCTGTGGGAGTCTTGAACCATGTACCCACACATGAGGCCAAAGCTCCATCGATTTTATTCTCCCAGGTTATATAATGTTTAGCATATCATGGTCCATGGGGTTAAGGCACTCATCTGGGGTTACCCAGAATGCTGGGTCAATCCCCGTACTGCTCCAGAAATACAAAGATTCTCTCATTGGTATGTGAGAGTATTGTGATGTGGTTGTGTAACACCAGAGGGCTCAGTTGGTGTTCTCCCCTTGTCCCCAGTTCTCTTCCTCCTCCTCCTCCATTTTTCTCACCCACGTTCTCTGTACAGTACTTCATCTTATCAGTCTTATCTCCAATTTTATCTCTGTCTTTATCTCCGTCTTTATCTCTGCAACAATGTTGTCCTCAGGAACTCATTTCTTACAGACTATCCTCCTGATATGATAGTACTGTAGTTACAGCAACTATTTGGTCAAAAGTACAACATGCAGTGATGGAACTCCACAAAGTTGATGTTTTGTGTTATTGAATTTGGCCAATGGGACACTTATTTAACTGCAACATAAATATAGAACCTAACCTCTCCTAGCAATCCTACACCCAATACATTGGTACTTTCAATCAAATAGTTACTATAACTGCATTGATATCAGGAGGATGGGCTCCTTCATGTAGGGGTCCATCCTGTAAGGGTCCGTCATGTATGAGTTCTTCCAGTTGAGTCTTTCTTGTAGGTGTTCTGCCTGTAGGGGCTCTCTCCTGTAGGGCTCTCTCCCGTAGGGGCTCTCTCCCGTAGAGGCTCTCTCTTGTAGGGGCTCTCTCCTGTAGGGGTCCATCCTGTAGGGGTTCTCTCCTGTAGGGGCTCTCTCCTGTAGGGCTCTCTCCTGTAGAGCTCTCTTTTGTAGGGCTCTCTTCTGTAGGGGCTCTCTTCTGTAGGGGCTCTCTCCTGTAGGGGTCCATCCTGTAGGGGTTCTCTCCTGTAGGGGCTCTCTCCTGTAGGGCTCTCTCCTGTAGAGCTCTCTTTTGTAGGGCTCTCTTCTGTAGGGGCTCTCTTCTGTAGGGGCTCTCTCCTGTAGGGGTCCATCCTGTAGGGGTTCTCTCCTGTAGGGGCTCTCTCCTGTAGGGCTCTCTCCTGTAGAGCTCTCTTTTGTAGGGCTCTCTTCTGTAGGGGCTCTCTTCTGTAGGGGCTCTCTCCTGTAGGGGTCCATCCTGTAGGGGTTCTCTCCTGTAGGGGTCCATCCTGTAGGGGCTCTCTCCTGTAGGGCTCTCTCCTGTAGAGCTCTCTTTTGTAGGGCTCTCTTCTGTAGGGGCTCTCTTCTGTAGGGGCTCTCTCCTGTAGGGGTCCATCCTGTAGGGGTTCTCTCCTGTAGGGGTCCATCCTGTAGGGGCTCTCTCCTGTAGGGCTCTCTCCTGTAGAGCTCTCTTTTGTAGGGCTCTCTTCTGTAGGGGCTCTCTTCTGTAGGGGCTCTCTCCTGTAGGGGTCCATCCTGTAGGGGTCCATCCTGTACGAGTCCTTCCAGTTTGAGTCTTTCCTGTAGGGGGTTCCTCCAGTAGGTGGTCCCTCATGTAGTGGTCCCTGCCGGGTGGGTTACGAAGTGGATGGTTTAGGTGTTGGAGTGAAGAGTGATGTATGGGAGTGGGGGGGGGGGCGAGGGAGTGTTAACCAGAGCAATGATGCCAAATCGTTATACATGTTTTCAGTCAGTCAACGTTGCTGGAGATGCATATTCCGCCCTCATCTTCATATCCATCTTCACTGCGCTTCCCATTGTGCTCTTCGTGCAGCTCCACTACAGCTACTTCTGCCAGATATCACGACTGGGGCCGACATCGCCCTCGGTCATCCTCAAGACGGGAATGTTTCACGGGATGGCCGTCCTAATGATTGTCTATGCACTGGACAGGAAGCGGGTTGTATGCCACGCGCAGGAGCCTCTCATGGGACTCCTGGTCATGTACATGATAATCATTTACTTCTTCTACAAAGGTCCAGGTAAGGTCTTGCCCGAAACGCTGTGTGTATTTGTAACTCATTCTGTACGTATGTACTTTTACCAGAATAAACATTATTATTATTATTAAGACACGTTTTGTGGCTCAAAAGCTACTGTTGGCTGTCATGTTTATTATTAATTTCTAATAAGACACAGAATGGTATTTAAATATCTACCATTGATGTTCCTTAATTTGACGATGCAGCAGTTGTTTTGGGGTGGGTGGGGGGGGAGTGATGATTGTGATAATGATGAATGATTAATGTATGCTTCCTTATCTGTCCATCCACTTATTGCCTGTAATTGTGTTTATGAAATCATATTTATAAATTATATACGGCAGTGTAATTAGCTAACGCAAGCAACTTACATTTGCCAAAAAATGCTATTAAATAGTGAAATGTAAATTTTGGTGTCCATTTTATATATAGCACACTATTATCAAGACTATTAACTATAATAATATCCACTATTGCCTATAATAATAATGACTATTACTTATATGAATAATGAGTATTAACTATAATAATATAGAACTAAGTTTCAGTAATGTTGTATAGAGCTATATTTAAGTAATATTATATAGAACTATATTACAGTATAATAATGAACTAATGCCAATAATTGAGAAAAGTCTCATGATAATGGAGGAAAATTATTGTCTCGGTGTACATAATTGGCACAAACAAAACCCTTGACTTTGTATTCCCAGAGCTGAGTTCACCGAAAATGTTCTCGCTGTGTGGTGTTCTCGGCGGGTTGTTCTTGGCCATGGACTTCCAGCTGAACAATCTATACCTGTGTCATGGACATACCCGCCTTGGCCCAGAGGACGACGGGGGCTCGTGGAGCTCTCAGGCCCACGCTCTCTGGACTATTGTTTACGCAGCTGCCCTGTTTCTCTTCACGCTGTCATGGCTCCTGCTGGAGAAGGAGGTGCTGACGAAGAAGGTGTGCAACAGCTTTCCGGGGCTTGCTTCTGCTATTATTCATAAATGATATTAGTCTTTGATGCTATTATTCTTAGATGCTATTAGACTTGGATGCTGTTATTCTTAGATGCTAGTAGTCTTAGGTGCTAATAGTCTTAGGTGCTAATAGTCTTAGGTGCTAGTAGTCTTAGGTGCTGGTAGTCTTAGATGCTAATAGTCTTAGGTGCTAGTAGTCTTAGGTGCTAGTAGTCTTAGATGCTAATAGTCTTAGGTGCTAGTAGTCTTAGGTGCTGGTAGTCTTAGATGCTAATAGTCTTAGGTGCTAGTAGTCTTAGGTGCTGGTAGTCTTAGATGCTAATAGTCTTAGGTGCTAGTAGTCTTAGGTGCTAGTAGTCTTAGATGCTAATAGTCTTAGGTGCTAGTAGTCTTAGATGCTATTAGACTTGGATGCTGTTATTCTTAGATGATAGTAGTTTTAGATGCTAATAGTCTTAGGTGCTGGTAATCTTAGATGCTAATAGTCTTGTAAGTCAACACTTTAATGTTCCGACTCATCGCAAAGTACCCGATCATAAATGCTCAGGGCATCTCAAGGTCCCACTCAACAATGCCTAAGATGTTTATGCTCTTTCTACATTTTCTCAGCTAGTTTTTGGGCTATCACTATAAATTTGTTGCCAAAATGTTCACAAACACATTGCTACAGTATAGGAGCAAAGTCAAATGTTTTGATAAATGCGTGTCTTGCTGACCATACAAATGTTTATGGACATTTTAATATTCCTCATATATTTCTGAACGTTCCTCTTTTATTAATAAAAAAAAAGGAACTTACAGGCTACTAGTCATACAGGCTGCTATATTCATATGAGGCCCTCCAAGTGTATATCCATATGAGGCCCTCCAAGTGTATATCCATATGAGGCCCTCCAAGTGTATTTCCATATGAGGCCCTCCAAGTGTATATCCATTCTAGTTCCTTCAGGGTATAGGTACTTTAGGTCCTCCAGGGTATATGTACTTTAGGTCCTCCAGGGTATATGTACTTTAGGTCCTCCAGGGTATATGTACTTTAGGTTCTTCAGGGTATATGTACTTTAGGTCCTCCAGGGTATATGTACTTTAGGTTCTTCAGGGTATATGTACTTTAGGTCCTTCAGGGTATATGTACTTTAGGTCCTTCAGGGTATATGTACTTTAGGTACTTCAGGGTATATGTACTTTAGGTACTTCAGGGTATTCCTATTTTAGGCCCTCCAGAGTACAGTGATACCTTGGCACTCGAATGGTCCCAAAATCGAACAATTTGGCAATCAAACACTTTTATTTGAGGAAATAGCGCTCGGTTGTCAACCGTTTGCTCGACTCTTGACGGTAATTAAATGTCAAGGAATACTTTGAGAGGAAAAAACTGACATATGATGACTGTGATTCATACGTCAGGCTGAGAGCAGCCGTATCCAACACTCTGGTTGACCAGTCCAGCAACCAGGAGGCCTGGTCGAGGACCGGGCCACGAGGACGCTATGCCCCAAAATCATCGCAAGGTCATCATCATCGTGAGATTCAATCTGCATCCCTGGACTCTTCATGCCTTTTAGCTCATCATGTTCAGTGGGTTCAATTCCATCATATAGATTCAAATCTTTCTTATAAATACATCAATGTTCTTGTAACTGCAGTGTGTTTACGATTCTCTGTTTGCAACGTCCGGTTTACGTGTGGATGATAGTGACTCCACGAGCAGCAATTTCTCAGTTTTCAATGGATGGTTTACACACATGACAAAGGTGACTCCTCGGGCAGCAACTCGGAGTCATGCTGACTGCTGTTACTGTAAAGTCTCTCTCTGACACAGTCATCAGAATTTGATACCATGGAAGTGTCATCTCTTAATACAGTACAAGGAATCATAGAATATTAATACTGTACAGTAAATGTGTCTGTAGTCTCCTGTTTATTGTGTGTGTTCATAATAGTTTCACAGAACCTTTAGTGATTTTCTTAACTAGGTTTTTCCTTCTAACTTCTTTGAGAATCTTATTCTGTTTTATAATTTATTTGAGGAAGTTTGCTCTGAACTTATTCTAAAACACAATATTCTCTTCTGGTGTTTTTCTTTAGGATGTGAAGGTGGCAGAAGATCGCTACAGAAATGTAAGCAATAACGATGCTTTTCTGAGCCCTTGTACTGCTACTCCTTAATAACGCAGTAACCTGCTCTTTATTTGCAATGGTTGGGACCAGAGGCTTTGCATTATTATGCAGCTTGCATTACTTCCAATGTGCATACAGTACTGTATTTGCGGGGCAAGATACAGCCCGAACATTTACGGTGTGAATTACATTATTAAGCGTGTGCTTTCCTTAAAGTTTGGGATTATTATGTTGTGATTTAAGCTTTGAAGCTAGTACTTGAATGGTTTGGTTGTTCAGTGCCATATTGTTTTTAATGTCCAGGTCCCCATTTACTGGTGAGTGCACAGACACGGCTGGAGTGATGGGCAATGATCATATTTTCATTAAACTACATCAGGGATGGTTTCTTCTCTGACTTCTTCAATTTTACAGATAAAATGCTTGAATTGCATTGCCAAATCTATCAAAAAGATATAATAAAGCTACATGAATATGTATTTGAATGGGCAAATATTTGTAAAAAATAGTTAGACAAAAAGAAGATGGCATTGATATGAATCCCTTGTAATGGCAACCAGCTAAAACTGTTGGACCCAACACCACCTCATTGTAGGTGATCTCGTTGCACAGATGGACTAGAAGCAGTCCCCGTGGCATAGTGGTAAAGCACTCGCCAGGCGCTTCGTGAGCGCTTTGGCCTGGGTTCGTAGCCTGGCCAGGGAGGATTGACAGGGTGCCAGTCCTTATCTGTAGGCTCTGTTCACCCAGCAGTGAATAGGTACCTGGTTCTTAAACGATTTGACGGGTCGTATTCCGAGGAAAAAATTTGGATTAAGGACCTGTCTGAAACGCTGTGCGTGCTAGTGGCTTTACAAGAATGTAAGAGCTCTTGTATATATAAATAAATAAGATAATAAAATAAATACAAATTGTAAAGTGTAAAAGCGTAGGTATCAGTGCTTGCCTGTCAGTGGCTACGGGAAATTAATTTTTCCTCTTTGGGGCCCACATGTTTGCTGTTGCACCTGTTGCTTTTCAACTTTTACATTCTAGTTCTGATACATTCTTGGAACATTTAAGGCAGCATTTTACTTGCTGACCTCCCATACTGTATATAAGTATTTTCTTACTTCTCTCCAACTCATTTATATTTTTAATTTGCACTCAGGCCCTCTTGTCCTGTTATCCCTCATTTGCTTTTAAAAAGACTGACCCTGTGTGCCTTGCATATTGCCCTCAGTATTCTGAACATTGTGAACATGTCTCAGTTGTTCCCCCCCCCCCCCTCTTAATTTGGTGGTTCACAAGATGAAGATTCCACGCTTGTTCTGTGTATGCTCCTGCTATTAAGCTATTTGTGTGTGTCCCCCTAGTGTTAGTGCTACCTCTATTCCAAAATCAATCTGGAGCATACCTGGAGAGGGTTCTGAGCGTTCTTCTGCTCCGCGAGCCTGGCCTGAAACTAGGCTCGAATCAGTCGATCTCTCCTGCTCCCTCCTCTACCTCTCTCTTCCTCCTTCCTCTCTCTCCCTCCTTCCTCTCTCTCCCTCCCTCCCTCCTTCCTCTCTCCCCCTCCTTCCTCTCTCCCTCTCCTTCCTCTCTCCCCCTCCTTCCTTTCTTCCTCTCCTTCCTCTCTCCCCCTCCTTCCTCTCTACCTCCCTCCTTCCTCTCTCCCTCTCCTTCCCTCCTCTCTATCTCTCATCCCTACAGCAATCTTCCTCTGTATTTTGATTGGACAAATAACCATATAACTATATCAGTATGAAAATATTCAATTTGCATGACTCCAAATCCATTATATAGAAGGTGGCACGAACCAGTGGATCTCTGGCCACCGCCATTTTAACTATTTTTAGTCATATCTTATTTTGTCAGTATAGATGAACATGACTTTTTCTCTGATGATAAAAATGCAAGGAAACTATGAGAGTGAATCTGAGTGATTGTGACAGCTTCCACTACAGTACCTTGTCTTCCACTTTATGGCAGCTTCCACTACAGTACCTTGTCTTCCACTTTATGGCAGCTTCCACTACAGTACCTTGTCTTCCACTTTATGGCAGCTTCCACTACAGTTGTTGAGGTGATTTGAGTAGAGACTTGGGATTATACCTGACTGACGAGACATTCACAGGGAGGTGAGGTAAGGTCAAGCAAACCTCACCTCAAGTAGTTTGGAGCATATTGGAACATAAGGGACCAGTACTCACTCAAGATACAGCAGTGTAGAATTTTCCTTGCAGATACCAGACCGTCAGTCTCCCTCCCCCTGTGATGCCCAACACAACCTCCCCCTGTAATGTCCACCCCAGACTCTTGTCTGGACTGACACGCAGCACACACTATCTCCTCCCTCTCTCGTAACGAGCTTTTATACTCGTCTATCCCCAATTTTCCGTTGAATGGACGGATTTGAATCTGATAACAAGGGACTACCTTCCAACTCTAGAAACTACTGGAGGTGAGGTTTGCTTGACCTTACCTCACCTCCCTGTGAATGTCTCGTAAGTCAGGTATAATCCCAAGTCTCTACTCAAGTCACCTCAACAACTGTTACACTTTCACTACAGTATCTTGTCTTCCACTTTATGGCAGCTTCCACTACAGTACCTTGTCTTCCACTTTATGGCAGCTTCCACTACAGTACCTTGTCTTCCACTTTATGGCAGCTTCCTCTACAGTACCTTGTCTTCCACTCCACGGCAGCTTCCACTACAGTACCTTGTCTTCCACTTTATGGCAGCTTCCACTACAGTACCTTGTCTTCCACTTTATGGCAGCTTCCACTACAGTACCTTGTCTTCCACTTTATGGCAGCTTCCACTACAGTACCTTGTCTTCCACTTTATGGCAGCTTCCACTACAGTACCTTGTCTTCCACTTTATGGCAGCTTTCACTACAGTACCTTGTCTTCCACTTTATGGCAGCTTCCACTACAGTACCTTGTCTTCCACTTTATGGCAGCTTCCACTACAGTACCTTGTCTTCCACTCCACGGCAGCTTCCACTACAGTACCTTGTCTTCCACTTTATGGCAGCTTTCACTACAGTACCTTGTCTTCCACTTTATGGCAGCTTCCACTACAGTACCTTGTCTTCCACTTTATGGCAGCTTCCACTACAGTACCTTGTCTTCCACTTTATGGCAGCTTCCACTACAGTACCTTGTCTTCCACTCCACGGCAGCTTCCACTACAGTACCTTGTCTTCTACTTTATGGCAGCTTCCACTACAGTATACTTCTCCATGGTGCTAATTTCTAGCTTTCATAGTCCCATTAAAGTTATTTCTGACTTATTTGAGGCCTCAATCTCGATGTAAAATTTAAGACACGAAGTCATAAATTGGATAAATGTAAGTAAGAAGTAAGTGGCTTTGGAAAGTGGTAAAGAAGAGGGTTGGTGAGACTGTGTTGACGGAGCTACACACAATCCCTAACGTGTCGGCAGCTGTGTACATACGTCTCGAGTCATAAATATTTACACGTTTTAAAAGTTCACAGTTATGCTGTGAAAATAAATGACATACTATTGCATTTATTAAACTATTATATGCAACTGAAGGTAATTTTTATTGTATTTTGATCAAATAACATACTTTTCTAGTTAATTTTTGGACAAAGAATGATCCATATTGTTTGTGTTGACAGCCTGGGACAGGTGGCCTGAGCCTGGTGAGTACGGTGTCGGGAGGGATGGCGGCCCCGGGGAGTGACGCCGAGGCTCTCATAACCAGTCGCAGCGGAGGCGTGATAGTAACTCTTCCCCTTCAGAATTCCAGCAATGCTAAGTGGGGGATCCACCTCGTGTGGTTCACCCTGGCTTCACTCGCCACCATAATGATGCTTTTCTGGACCGACTTCTTCACCGCTCTTGGCAAGGTATTTGTATGCGCGGGCGGGTATCACACGGATGTCACGTCCCACTTGTCCGTTTTTTAAAGATTTGAAAGTGTCCAGTTTGAAGTAGTTTATTCATAACTATACACACAAACCTAGACCAACTCATTTAACCTATTAAAGCCAGTGCTCATTACTAAGAGGTCGTTTCAGAACCTAGGAGCTTTAATTCCACTCACCACTTCCCTGCAGAATCTTCATTTCTGCTTGTAATAATGTTTGAATATCATGTGCCTTTAACCCTGACGTTCTTCCAGTCCCTATCTGTGATTTCCTCCTGAGCACCTATCACCATATGTGATTATTCCTGTTTGATTTACTAACTATTTTTAAGTGAGGTGCACCTTGATAGGGTATACTTTTAAATACATGTACAGTTCGGGGTTAAACGTCGGCACTGTTTTCCTACTTTTTGCCGAGTTGCCGAAACATTCATAAGAGAGAATAGGAAAGCATAAATTGACATTCTCTATAAATGTGAAGAGTAAGAGCAAACATAACTGTAGTGCACTGATGAATGGCAGACTATAACAAAGGGGAGTTTAATACTGTACTATAAATGTGAAGAGTAAGGGCAAAAGGACTGTAGTGCACTGATGAATGGCGGACTATAACAAAATGAAGTTAAATACTGTAAATGAATAGAGAATAGAGCACCAAATAGGTGATACATATTGGTTAGGTTTAGATTCAGTAAAGACCTGGGTAGATACTAGTTTGGAAATAGGGTTGTAAATACTATATATGGAACAAATTACTGAGTAACATAATAGATGTGTATTGGTATAGGCCAGTAGGCCTTCTGTTATATAATATATTCTTAATTAAACCTAATTTACCCTAACCTAGTTAATCTGGTTGCTTAATTCCCTAGGCTGGTTCATTCATTAAACCTAAATTAACCTAACGTAGTTTATCACATCGCTGTATTCCCCAGGCTGGTTCATTCATTAAACCTAAATTAACCTAACGTAGTTTATCACATCGCTGTATTCCCCAGGCTGGTTCATTCATTAAACCTAAATTAACCTAACATAGTTCATCACATTGCTGTATTCCCCAGGCTGGTTCACCTCAAGAGTTCGTAAAGCTCACTTCTGGAGGCCTACACTGCCACTTCCACTGGGGCGGAGAGTGTGGCTCTACTGCACTATATGGCTGGCTGATGGCAGTCCTACACGTTGCGTTCCTAGTGCTCGTGGGCAGGGTTCTGGCTGCTTCCCACTCCATGATCTTCACACTAGCAACCACTGCTGTTGCCTTGCCTGTCCAGGCTCTGTGGTGGGCCCTCTTCACCATTGGTGGCCCTCTCGGCATGCTCTGGCACCCTCAGGTCAGTCTGTGATCGTTGTTATGGCCGTGGTGAGGATTTTGATATGAAAGGGAACCACAGTAGTGTTGATTATGATGATGGGGACGGGTATGCATTCTTTGCTCTCTTGCTCATCCTCTCCTCACATTCCTCAGTGTTGACACCAGTGCCCCCAGTACCTTTGTGCACTGGTGGTATATTGTCGTAATGGCTTGGCAATTTCTCTCGATAATTACCTTACCAAAAATTATAATAAAATAAAATAGTGTTAAAAAATATCACTCATCCAGTCATTATATCATTTGCCAGTTTATAGGATAAACAATTATCATTCGTCTTGTAATGTCATGACACTTCTAAATTAAGACATTTGTATCCTTATGCTTGTTCATCTAATCTAACACCACGCTAAGGAAAAGTCTCGTACAAAGAGAGATGAACAGATGTCCCGAATTCTTCACACGACGATGATCATTTTCGGCGCTCTTGCATTGCAGGTAACGGGAGAGTTGATCTTCAGCCTCATGGGTCTTCCCATCATGATTGCCTGTCTCGCCTTCTGGAGTCACATTGACCGCCGCGACAAACTTCGCTCCAACAACTTCCCACTCACCTAGCGTGTTGACGTTTAGCCTTGTGTGGGTGTGCGTCTTCAGTCCAGATTTCCAGGGCAGCTCCGAAAATCTCTTCCAATGCATAGGTTTTCACGGAGACTTTGTAGGTGTATCTCCTCAGGATTAGATAATCTAGAACACCTATAGGCCAAATGATGCTCATAAAATTGTTCCTTAGGCCACCTCCACAGGCATTATAGCCTCTGCTTATTATTCCGGTCATTGCTTTCCTTAAATATTGGCCACAGTCATGTGCAGTTAATATGTAAATTGTTCTTGTTTTTTCTTTTGCTTAAAATATGACTTAACTAAAATTGAAAACATCTCTGAATTCTGTGAATTCACCCAAAACAGTTTTGTAAAATCTGCTATACTTAATTATATATATACAAAGTTACGGCACTTAGTGTGACAGTGTAAAAGTATACAGCACTGTATATTGTAACCAGTTTAAAGGTACAATATATATACAGTTGTAAAAGTTATATGTACCTGCAGGTACATAAAGAATATAGACTATATAACCCCGGGACCTGTAGATTACATAATGCCTATGAAATAGGATAGCAAAATAGCCCTCATTATCTTCATGTCACATCTCCATGGGGCAAAACATCCATGTTTTAAAGTATTGTCCGGAGTAGGACTTACGGAAATGACTTCGGTGCTTTTTTAACAGCGATTACGCTTGTTCGTAATATCCGTTACCTAGTTTCATCTCATATTACACAGTTGTGTGCAGTGTGTATGTTCATACCAGTGCCCCTTCCCTCCCACAGTACCTGGTATGTTGACACCAGTGCCCCTCGCAGCACCTGGTGTGTTGACACCAGTGTCCCCCGCAGCACCTGGTGTGTTGACACCAGTGTCCCCCGCAGCACCTGGCATGTTGACACCAGTGTCCCTCGCAGCACCTGGCATGTTGACACCAGTGTCCCCCCCAGCACCTGGTGTGTTGACACCAGTGTCCCTCACAGCACCTGGTGTGTTGACACCAGTGTCCCTCGCAGCACCTGGCATGTTGACACCAGTGTCCCCCGCAGCACCTGGTGTGTTGACACCAGTGTCCCTCGCAGCACCTGGCATGTTGACACCAGTGTCCCCCGCAGCACCTGGTGTGTTGACACCAGTGTCCCTCGCAGCACCTGGCATGTTGACACCAGTGTCCCTCGCAGCACCTGGTGTGTTGACACCAGTGTCCCCCGCAGCACCTGGTGTGTTGACACCAGTGTCCCCCGCAGCACCTGGCATGTTGACACCAGTGTCCCCCGCAGCACCTGGCATGTTGACACCAGTGTCCCTCGCAGCACCTGGTGTGTTGACACCAGTGTCCCTCGCAGCACCTGGCATGTTGACACCAGTGTCCCCCGCAGCACCTGGCGTGTTGACACCAGTGTCCCTCGCAGCACCTGGCATGTTGACACCAGTGTCCCCCGCAGCACCTGGCATGTTGACACCAGTGTCCCTCGCAGCACCTGGCATGTTGACACCAGTGTCCCCCGCAGCACCTGGTGTGTTGACACCAGTGTCCCTCGCAGCACCTGGCATGTTGACACCAGTGTCCCCCGCAGCACCTGGCATGTTGACACCAGTGTCCCTCGCAGCACCTGGCATGTTGACACCAGTGTCCCTCGCAGCACCTGGTGTGTTGACACCAGTGTCCCTCGCAGCACCTGGCATGTTGACACCAATGTCCCCCGCAGCACCTGGTGTGTTGACACCAGTGTCCCTCGCAGCACCTGGTGTGTTGACACCAGTGTCCCTCGCAGCACCTGGCATGTTGACACCAGTGTCCCCCGCAGCACCTGGCATGTTGACACCAGTGTCCCCCGCAGCACCTGGCATGTTGACACCAGTGTCCCTCGCAGCACCTGGCATGTTGACACCAGTGTCCCTCGCAGCACCTGGTGTGTTGACACCAGTGTCCCCCGCAGCACCTGGCATGTTGACACCAGTGTCCCCCCCGCCCCCCCAGCATGTGCTATATAACACTGGAATAAAAATGATAGTTAAAAAGGTTTCAAAAACCCCTTATTTGCCTATTATTCTCTTGGAGAAGAGTGACACGAGAAATGAGGTTTTGAATATACAAATGTTATTGAAATGTGAAACATGTTATGGTGATCAATTTAAACACAACACTGTTTTTAATTTTTAAATTAATATATATTCAATATGTGTATATATACAGTGTGTATTGTGTTTTGTTTGGCAAGTCTGGCTATTTATGTATAACATGCATACATAAACACACAAATATATATATACATGCTTTGAGCTCACTAACAAACATCAAACTGTAGCAAGATAGTGTGTGTGTGTGTGTGTGTTTAATTACAAGTCAACAGATGGGTTGGTATATTTGTTCCTCTCAAGATTATATTTTTTTAAGATTGCTTTTAAGGTCTTAAATATACAATTTCAACCTTTATGCACTAATGACTGAACGATGCACAGTGTGGAAGGTGCAGTTGAAAGGTTTGTGCATTTCATTTAGGGAATTATATTTTGTAATAAATATAATTTATAATGCAAACTTTGTCTTAAAACTCATTAGCTGTGTCAGGGTGGTGTTGACTGTGATGCGTCAAGGTGGTGTTGACTGTGATGTGTCAGGGTGGTGTTGACTGTGATGCGTCAAGGTGGTGTTGACTGTGATGCGTCAGGGTGGTGTTGACTGTGATGCGTCAAGGTGGTGTTGACTGTGATGAGTCAGGGTGGTGTTGACTCTGATGCGTCAGGGTGGTGTTGAGTGATGCGTCAGGGTGGTGTTGACTGTGATGCGTCAGGGTGGCGTTGACTCTGATGCTGATCATCTCCAAGTTGACAATTTTCCAGAATCTGTTGTTTAAGATTTTCCCGAGCATTTGCTTGTTTATGATTGGATGAAAGTTTGCTCAAATTATCTCAACTGTATTTATTATTTCAGCATATGCAATGTAGTCTTACTTTAAAAATGTGTTACCAATAGTATAAATCATTAATGCCTTATATAATGTGAGTGACTTAGGTTTGGAGGTAAAATATACAGGTATTTATGCTGTGGTGTTGTTACGGCCACTGTGGGTCGTAACCGGGTTCTTGATGGAGGAACCTAAGTGATAGTATCCGACCCCAAGTTGGTAGTGGCTTTCAACGAGTTGACTAGGTAATGCAATATATAAAAGGGGAGAATGAACACACCACTGATTCCTTTATCAATATATTCCCATCACCTTAAATAGAAACATAAAAATGAAATATTACTACACTTAGATGTATATACAGTACAGGTGTCGCTCTCACACATTACACTGAGCACTCCACGACGCTAACACAATGCAGCCTTCGTCAATCTTCGTGTTTTCCCAACACACAGTACCGTTCCCAACCTTACTGGCCACAGTACTGGGAAACACTGGCGGCGAGTCTACCTTTGCCGTGGGCCAGCCTACCGGCAGTATCACGAGGTGCCTCTCTGCCCACTACCACTCTCCAGCCAAGTGCTGGCAGAGAACCTCAGCCACGCGCTGATTGGGGCCTCTACACAGACAAATACAGGGGTACCTCACCCCTGTCAGGAGAGACTAGCGACGGACTAGCAATGCTCCTCAACAGGCACCTCACTGTCGGTCGTCTCTCCCTTTAGCCAGTCCCGGGATACGCCGAATTCTTCCACTGCTACTCCATTAGCAGAATCCACGCTGTTCCTGGTCAGCGACGGCTCACTTAGTCGTCAGGCAGGACTAAGTTGGGAGAGTTTAGGCTGCCCAAGGTAGACTGCCTTCCTCAGTACCACTGCTGCCCCACATCACCTCTGTGGATACAGACACGTCATCAGTTATAGGGTACCGGAGAAACCAGGAAACAACACTAACTCGGGCATTGACATTGTGCTCTGTAGCATAACCTAGGTGGTGTTGGCGTTGATTCGCCACTTCACCAGAGGTCACCCACTACGACCTCACTTGTTATTCAAAGCAGGAATCTGGAGCCATTTCCTGCTATCAGGTTACTACCACTAGATGGTGTTGTTTGTATTGTGTCCGATAGCATGGGAGTTAGAGAGCAGACTCACAGATGGCGCTGAAGTCACTACTCCCTGCTCCAATGAGGATGTCGGGTTCGTAACAGGTGTGTACGCAACCTGCCCTCTAGAATAATACATTATATTTTGACGTAAAAATCACCAACGTCAAAATACAGTGTAAATAAAGCATAGCAGCTCACTAAATTGACAGCCTGTTACGTTTTATATTCGTGGGTCCTCAGTTTGGTTAGATTGAGACAAGTTAGTACATAATTTTTGTGATGTGACTACTTGAGAGGATGAGTTGGTGTACCAGTGGGTATCAGGAGTGGGAAAGTTCCGCCAACGAAAATATACCGAGTAATATACAAACTGATTACCTATTTTTGGAACTTACACAATAGCAGCCATAGGCACATAACTTATTTCAGAAAATACCCACATCCTTACAGTCAATGTAAGTTACCTGTAATACCAGTACAATAATTCTTGTAACACTGGTAATATTGGGTAACTGCCCCGTGCCAGAAGTTGTGCCCCCCCCCCCCCCCACGTGGTCATGTAACACAAGGGTGCCACAGTCCACCTCCTACTGACAGTGTACTACACCCACGTGGTCATGTAACACAAGGGTGCCACAGTCCACCACCTACTGACAGTGTACTACACCCACGTGGTCATGTAACACAAGGGTGCCACAGTCCACCACCTACTGACAGTGTACTACACCCACGTGGTCATGTAACACAAGGGTGCCACAGTCCACCACCTACTGACAGTGTACTACACCCACGTGGTCATGTAACACAAGGGTGCCACAGTCCACCACCTACTGACAGTGTACTACACCCACGTGGTCATGTAACACAAGGGTGCCACAGTCCACCTCCTACTGACAGTGTACTATACCCACGTGGTCATGTAACACAAGGGTGCCACAGTCCACCACCTCCTGACAGTGTACTACACCCACGTGGTCATGTAACACAAGGGTGCCACAGTCCACCACCTACTGACAGTGTACTACACCCACGTGGTCATGTAACACAAGGGTGCCACAGTCCACCTCCTACTGACAGTGTACTACACCCACGTGGTCATGTAACACAAGGGTGCCACAGTCCACCTCCTACTGACAGTGTACTACACCCACGTGGTCATGTAACACAAGGGTGCCACAGTCCACCACCTCCTGACAGTGTACTACACCCAAATGCATTACAAGCACAGAATACCCTTCCTAACCCACTCTCGTTATACGTAACCCCAAAATTCTCACCTGCACTTTGAAACTGGATATATATAGGGTGTTTTGTTATGTAAATTTGCATCTGTGCCATCCAATACCGTGTATATGGCATGCTGTCTGTTCTCTTGAACTGTATGAAGTTAGCTGCAACAGCTGCTCAGTGTATTCACTAAGGATGTTATTGGAAATGGATAGTAAAACTATTAATATTGTATAATGTCTTGCAATGGAAGGAATTGATGTGTTAAGCTTAAGTTTTGTGGGACAAATCCTTACAAATGGTAATTATGTTTACCAAATTGAAATCATTTATTAGGAGTATTGTATAGGGTGAAATTATCTTCTGTTTATCATTATGACCTGAAAGTTAGAGAATTTAGGAGAGTTTGAAAGTTTGCTCAGAATTTCATGTGGCAGATTTTGCTGGTACAGCAGCAAGCGCTCACCACCCGCTCCTTTGAAGCATTTCCAGCGAGGATAGAGGCCAAGTTGCTTCAGTAAGGGGAAGATGTAAGAATATGGTAGACAAGCGAGAGTGAAAGAAAGGGGTACGAGTAGATAAAGTTGCAGGTAAAAAATGGAGAAGTCTGATTGAAAAGGAAAGCCAGTCCTACTGAATATGTGTATGTAGAGAGAGAGAGAGAGAGAGAGTAGCAAGCCTGCAAGTGTTTGTGTTGTGCGAGTGTTATCACTGACAACGCATCACTTGGGTAAGGCTCGTGGTATGCACGGACAACAATAAGAATAACGGAAACTGCAGAAGGCCTGTTGGCCTATGCAGGGCAACTCCTATTTAAATTCACCCAAACTCATTCATATATTTGTCTAAGTTACACTGGAAATAATCAAGGGATCCTGCGTCTCTTATGTTACCCGGTAACTGTTCCAGAATTCAACACCCCTATTTCATCCCAATATTTACCCGGGTCATTCCTAAATCTAGACTTATCCAATTTATATCTATTGTTTCAAATTTTATGTGTTCATATGTTCCTAAAGTGTTCCTATATTTAATACCATCGTGCCGTGGGCAGTCAAAGACTAAACTGTTGAGTTGAGGAAGGTTCGATGAATGCAGTATTCTGGTGGGTGTAGACAAGTATGTATGGAAGATCACGCTTCACTAGTCATGCATGATAATTTACCTCCACTGTTGACTAAAATGTTGCTTTAGCCACGGCGTATAAAATATGTTTTTGGCAGCTTTATGGATGTAAAGTGTTTTATCAGTACCTTTTATCCAATGCTTATAAAATATGTTTAGGCCTATTCATTTGGTTAATTTAATTAATTTAGATAAAGCAGAATATCAGACACTGCGAAGTATTTGAAGTATTCATAAATGAGCAGTGAGTGCCTGATGTGCATACTGGTTGTTCATGATTTATGTTGTATTCTCATTATTGGAAGCTTGCTGTTTACCTTTGTTTTGCAGTATGATTAATGTGTTTTAATCAGTTGTTTAGCAAAACATAGTAAAGCAGACTGCTGGGAATTAAAAGATTTGTGTGTATGCCGACGTTTCTATGAATATCCCTTCAATGATTTGATGACTTCAATGATTTACCTGAATTTACCCGAGGCCCACTATCTCTCTAGTGGCCTCGACGAGGACAGGAAGCCAGCGGCTTGGCCAAGATTTCCCCATTTGTCCTATAGTTGGCAACTTTAGGTATTTACAACAACTTGGACTAAAGAGTGAATTTAATTTAATATCTTTATTGATAAGTATACTTGTGTTTAGTATTATTTTAAATGTGTTTTAAAACAATTTTGCTTTCCTTTGAATTATAATAAAATATTGAATTTGCTTTGGGATATGTTGACAAAAAACAAAGAATGTGGAGACATTGTGATACATGTTGCCAGTTCTCTATTGGCAGCAGTTTTAGTAGTTCACCCGTGTATAATAGCAGCCGGTTTAGGAGTTCACCCATGTATAATGGCAGCAGTTTTAGTAGCTCACCCGTGTATAATGAAGATACTGTATATGATAGAGGACTAAAAGAACTTTTGTACCATAATACACTTGCAGCTAGATGTATCCCTGCTTCCTTAGAGAAGGGAAATAATAGAGCGCACGTGTGATACTGAGATGGGCCGCGAAATAAGTACAAGGAAAAGAAACACAAAGCTTTGCACTCCCACTTGGGACTCCAGAGCGACCAAACTGCCTCTTGACTGGTATTGAGCTTAGCCTGTAGGTATTGGGGTCCACAGGAATTAGCAGTAAATAGGTACCTGGGAGTTAGACAGCTGCTACGGGCTGCTTCCTGGGGGTGTGTAACAAAAAAAGAGGCCTGGTCGAGGACCGGGCCGCGGGGACACTAAGCCCCGAAATCATCTCAAGTTAACCTCAAGATATTGCATCTGTCAACTTCTGGAGGGTTATTAAGGGCACCACCAGGGGCTGGATTACCCAATAGGCCAAGTAGGGCATGGCCTAGCTCACAAGTAGGGCATGGCCTAGCTCACAAGTAGGGCATGGCCTAGCTCACAAGTAGGGCATGGCCTAGCTCACAAGTAGGGCATGGCCTAGCTCACAAGCTGCCTACGTGTGTGTGTGTTCGCTGGTGAATAACCTCACCCACCAAAGGGTGGAAACCACTCAGCTGTTTAGGACTTGGGCCCAGAAACATCCGGCTCTGGCCACCACAATACCTTACTGACCAACTAGCAAGTATACTCTAGTCCTGAACATAATCCTAGACTAAAGTAAACTCAATGTATAAGATACCTGGTTGATGGGGCTCTGGGAGTTCTTCTACTCCCCAAGCCTTGACTTATGAGAGTTTTCACGAGTACAACAGTATTCACCGAGAATCTCTCCCATCTCACATTCACAAATCTCAGACACCGAGAATTCACTATGAATTGTTATTCCCATTACTACACCAGTATTAACCAAGAAGCTGGGTACACCTCTCAGTGTATATACACCAAGAAGCTGGGTACACCTCTCAGTGTATATACACCAAGAAGCTGGGTACACCTCTCAGTGTATATACACCAAGAAGCTGGGTACACCTCTCAGTATATATACACCAAGAAGCTGGGTACACCTCTCAGTGTATATACACCAAGAAGCTGGGTACACCTCTCAGTGTATATACACCAAGAAGCTGGGTACACCTCTCAGTGTATATACACCAAGAAGCTGGGTACACCTCTCAGTGTATATACACCAAGAAGCTGGGTACACCTCTCAGTGTATATACACCAAGAAGCTGGGTACACCTCTCAGTGTATATACACCAAGAAGCTGGGTACACCTCTCAGTGTATATACACCAAGAAGCTGGGTACACCTCTCAGTGTATATACACCAAGAAGCTGGGTACACCTCTCAGTGTATATACACCAAGAAGCTGGGTACACCTCTCAGTGTATATACACCAAGAAGCTGGGTACACCTCTCAGTGTATATACACCAAGAAGCTGGGTACACCTCTCAGTGTATATACACCAAGAAGCTGGGTACACCTCTCAGTGTATATACACCAAGAAGCTGGGTACACCTCTCAGTGTATATACACCAAGAAGCTGGGTACACCTCTCAGTGTATATACACCAAGAAGCTGGCTACACCTCTCAGTGTATATACACCAAGAAGCTGGCTACACCTCTCAGTGTATATACACCAAGAAACTGGCTACACCAAGAGGTTGTGTATAGTGAAGTGACGTTAGAACTGCAGCATTACTTGCTGTTAACACTCCTCACTGCAACCTTGCACATGCAGGAAGCTAAATATATATTTGCCTAAATATTTGTGAGTTTAACTTGGGTATATAGGGATTGTGGAGCCCTGGGAAGATTGTGTCCAGTGCTGGCAGAGGATTGTAGGTGTGTTGGCAAGAAGTCCCAGAGTACTGTGTCCTGCTCCGCGCCCCTCTTCCTTGCTGGTTCATCTTATAATGAAGAGACGTCATTATACAGCATCTTAACAATCCTGTGGGTGGTAATGGACCCCATACTCATCCTGGATAGTGGTAGTGGACCCCATACCCATCCTATGAGTTGTAGTAGACCCCATATCCATCCTATGAGTTGTAGTAGACCCCATACCCATCCTGTGGGCGGTAATGTACCCCCAACCCGTCCTCGACTCAAGTCCATTACATTCAGCGGTCAACCCCACAGATGCATTCATAAATTTTAACATGCTGTTCATTCAAAACGGGAATTTTCTCAAGTATAAATTAATATTATAATATATTAGCATATTGTGTATATATAGGCATAGGTTAGGTTAGGTCAGGTGTTTAGGTTCTGTTGGCGATTATTTGTATTTGCAGTAAGTGGGTGAAGCATTTATAGCGTTGTGGTTCGAACAAAATTCGTCAGTGAAGCACTTGTTCCGGAAGTGTTCGAATGTCAGCAGTTGTGAGTCGTGTGTAAACCGCTTTTCATTCATAAACAGGGGGTTTGGCGGGTGCATGGAATCACTTTTGGGTCTTTGTTTGGAGGACTGACTGTTACACACGACTCTCAACTGATGACGTTCGAACACTTCCAGAACATGTGCTTCATTGACGAATTTTGTTCGAACCACAACGTTGTAAATGCTTCACCCACGTACAACAGGTAAGGTACATACATACAAGGTAAGATACAAAAGTTGATGGATATATAGATAGAGCTAGTACATACAATGCCTAAAGCCACTATTACGCAAAGCGTTTCGGGCAGGAAAAACACTAAGACTAAAACTTAATACTAATTGAGATTAAAGCATAAATTGTGATGAGAAAAAATAAGAAAAAAGGGGGGAACATGGCAGAAAAAAAGCAAGAATACAATTTGGTCAACAAAACAGCATTGTTTAAAATAATAAGACATGGGTTGACATTTTGGGGGTAAGGAAGGTTACAGGGAGTTAATTAGGTAGGGTTTAGTTTTACTCTTAAACTGGTTGAGAGAGGTACAGTCTTTAACATGGTTGGGAAGGTCATTCCACATTCTGGGTCCCTTGATTTGTAGAGCATTTCTAGTTTGGTTAAGTCGTACTCTTGGAATATCAAATAGGTATTAGTTTCTGGTGTGGTGCTCATGGGTTCTGTTACAACCTTCTAGGAAGTTTTCAAGGTCAGGATTGACATTACAGGTCAGCGTTTTATATATATATATATATATATATATATATATATATATATATATATATATATATATATATATATATATATATATATATATATATATATATATATATTCGTGTATACTGGCAGCAGGTTTTCTTTCAAACATGTTTCATTGAATATGACCGCATATTCTGTATTAATTATTTTCTGGTTTAGGGCTTCTATCCCTCTAACTATTTTCTTAGCATCAGGGCTTAATTGAAATAGGAGTTCTCCAAAACTCATTTTCGTACTTTTAAGGTGAAGAAAAGAAGTGATTTACTATAGAGTGTATTACACTTATTTGTATAATTTGCACGACGTTTCGAACCTCCATGGTTCATTCTCAAGTGAACAGATCTTACAATACTAGTTGATTTTATACCCGCATTAGGTCAGGTGATAATACAATGAAGGTGAAAACACGGGGGGATACATAAGGGATAAACATAGGGGCTGCAGAAGGCTTATATATATATATATATATATATATATATATATATATATATATATATATATATATATATATATATATATATATATATATATATATATATATATATATATATATATATATATATATATATATATATATATGTCGTACCTAGTAGCCAGAACGCACTTCTCTGCCTACTATTCAAGGCCCGATTTGCCTAATAAGCCAAGTTTTCATGAATTAATTGTTTTTCGACTACCTAACCTACCTAACCTAACCTAACCTAACTTTTTCGGCCACCTAACCTAACCTAACCTATAAAGATAGGTTAGGTTAGGTTAGGTAGGGTTGGTCAGGTTCGGTCATATATCTACGTTAATTTTAACTCCAATAAAAAAAAATTGACCTCATACACAATGAAATGGGTAGCTTTATCATTTCATAAGAAAAAAATTAGAGAAAATATATTAATTCAGGAAACTTGGCTTATTAGGCAAATCGGGCCTTGAATAGTAGGCTGAGAAGTGCGTTCTGGCTACTATATATATATATATATATATATATATATATATATATATATATATATATATAGTAGCTGGCTACTATATATATATATATATATATAGGCTACTTCTGGCTATATATATATATATATATATATATATATATATATATATATATATATATATATATATATATATATATATATATATATATATATATATATATATATATATATATATATATATATATATAGGATGATAGGATGTGCAGTGACTTAATATCTAACATATTCAGAGATTTGAGTAAGGGTACCGAGTGATGTCTGGGGCCAGAGTTGGATATTGTCCTAATAGCAGCTTAATTGTGTTGGGTAATTAGAGGACGTAAATAATTTTGGGTAGTAGAGCCCCAAGCACAAATACCATAGTTGAGATATGGATAGATAAGGGAGTAA